ATAGTATTGTTGTAAAATGTTTATTTGTGAATTGATATTCCATAAATTGTGATAATTCCGTATTCTTGAATTTTTATAAGAGTTTTTCTATACATATTAAATTGGCAATTATGCTAGAATGCCTTTACAAACTGCTACCTTTCTAAATTTGAGCCCAAAATATTTGAGTGGTTATTTTTGAAATGTTATAGAAAGTGACTGTTATTAATGGTTTAAGTGAAATTCATATTAATGATTTCAGTGATATGTTGAGTACATGATATTGCTGCTTTCGAATGTTTAAAGAGAGTTAGAAATAATTTAAGTATGCAAGTGGACTCATCCGGTTCGTCGGTGAGGTATAAGTGGACCTATCTGGGACACCGGTAGGGATTAAGTGGACTTATCCGGTACACCGGTGAGGTATAAGTGGACCTGCAGGGATTAAGTGGACCTATCTGAGACGCCGATAGGGATTAAGTGGACCCATCAGGACGCTGATGGGGTATATAGGTGACCTACTTGGGACGTCAGTAGGGTATTTTGTGAAATCCTTTGAATTATGTACTATCGTTAAAAGTGTTATAAGCATTTCAATTATTCGAATTATACTTAATTATGCATTTATTGAAAGTAAAATTGTTGATGCATTTCTGTTAATAGAGCTCATTTTGGAAAATATTGATATCTTTCAATCATGATTATTTTTAGGATTATGATGATCACTTACTGAGTAGCAAAACTCATCAAACTATGGTAAACATTTTTTCAGGATAACTGCGGATTCATTTTGTGTCCTCGTCATGATCAACTTTGGAAGATATTGTAGTTGTGTCTAAGCTTTTTTTTACTTTGTAAGAATTCGTCAATGTAAATTTATCCTATCAAGAGATGTATATATGATTTGACTGTCACATCTCAGGAATATCAGTACTGTAAATTCTTAGGGTGTGACAGCTTTCTTCCATCTGAAGAGAATACAACTGCTTCTTCAAGAACAACTTGTTCGTCAGATATTTCGTCATATAAATACTCTCGAGTTTTGTTCAAACCTCTATAGTAGTTTCGAGATCCACCACATAACGCAAAACGTCATCTGAGAGATTCAGACGAATCACACTTACCGCATTTTCCTCCATCTCTTACCACTCTTCATCGTCTATCTTTGCTGGTTTCTTCGATTTCCCTAGCAAAGCTTTAGCCAGACCTTGCTGTATTAGAAGATCTTTCATCATTCGTAGCTAAAAGGTGAAATTGTTCTTTCCATTGAACCTCTCAATGTCATACTCAACGTTGGAGCCCTTTCCTGTCATCATGGTAGCAATCCTCAGAACACATAATAACCTGGTAAGTTCTTATATCAATTTGTAGAAATTAAAAGCAACCCACTAAAACAAGAAAGAAGAAACAAATACAAAAAAAAAAGACAATCAACAACAATGCAAATATATATGTGGTTCAGCAACGTGACTAAGTCCACGGGAGATGAGAGCTTCTTGACTGGCAATGGAGAGTAGGGTTACAATAACTCTCTTCCTCACTCCTCTCTTTTCTCTCTGATTACAAAGAAATGTACGTTTTTCCCTTAACCCTAAATGAACCCCTCATCGTAACAATATATATTGAATCGCTACAATGTATATCGAGTCGCAACAATATATATTAAATCACTACAATGTATATCGAGTCACAACACTATATATCGAGTCCCAGATAGATGCTACAAATTTTCGAAATACTTCAAGTACAGATATATATCGAATCCCAGATATATCGAATCCCCATGTACGGATATCCAAAATTTTCCTCAATGACCCCCGCAAGGGACGAGTCAACCAAGTCTGCATGCGCTGGACACTCCTCCGCCCTTTTAACGATCCTTCGGAGTTACCATTTTGACTTTACCTGAACAGATCTATTTTCTCATAATACAAGACATCAATCCTCAACACTACCCACGTATAATTAACTACCCCAGCATTATAGTAAATAATTGGAGAATTCAGTTTGAGCATGTGTAGGCCAGGCTTAGCTTTCATTCACGAAAGGCCTGATGATTCTATCGGGGTTAAATAATAATTATATAAGATATTATTTTGAAATACTTTTAATTACATTAGTTGGGGTAAATGGTTATTATATATTTTTTAATATATAATTGTATATAAATTAAGGCAAAAAGTTATGTCCTCCATTCTTGCAACTATAATCCCAAATAAACCCTCAGGGAAATTAACACCTTTCATATTTTTAAATTATTATATCTATTTTTTTTTGTACTTTTTTTTAAAATTCATTTGATTGGTTTGACCACTGAGACCAAACCCCTCATTGGCTTATTGGCCAATCTGATGTTGATAACCCTGGTGTATTCAGTGTACGTTCAGAGTTCGAGAGAGAGCAAGAGATATTTTCCTTCCCAAAGTAGAGTTGGATGTCGAGAAAGATGGAGAGAGCAAGAGATATTTTCCTTCCCAAAGTAGAGTTGGATGCCGAGAAAGATGGAGAAAAAAAAAGACGAGAAAATTAGTTGAATTGGGATAAAGAGTGCAAACCGAAAGAGATGAGTCGGGTTTCCAAAGCACAATACGTTTGAATTTCATCTCGCTCCTGAAAACCCTCGATCTCTATACATTTCAATATTCTCTCTTCACCACATATTTTCTCATCGATACTTTAGAAGTTCTTCAAAAGCAAAATACGGTGATTGAGTGATTACCTACTGGAAAAAGTTTATATAGAGCTAAGGCTCTAAACAATCAAATTAGAGTCCACCTCAAAAAATTTATTAGAAGAGGTTATTTTGATGCTTAATCCTCAAATTGATCATCTTGATATCAAGATGCATATACAAGAGAAAAAAATGGATTTCAAATTTTGGAAATACCCATCTTGTAATGTATTTTTGAACCATCCATTTTCAAGATTTTCATAGATTGTTCGATATACACTATTTTTTAAGCTTTAAATTTTATAATTAAAGATAAAAGTATATTTTAAAGCTATCACAAATATTTCCAATATTAATACCACATTTCTCAACAATGAGCTCTAATTTGATTGTTTAGAGCCTTGGCTCAATACAAACCACACCCTTCTCTATTTATCTCTTTGTGCTCTTCAAATCTCTCAATTCCTCAGTATATTTATATAGTATATCCCAAACCCATTTCTCAATCCCCATGGTAGGGAGATAAGCAGAGTTATGTGAGCCTAAATTGGGGAAAGTATCAATTGAGGTTTGCTAAACAAGAGATTGGCTTAAAGAAAAAAAAAACCATACTTTACAAACTCTTCCAATATCTAGGTCGGTTGCCCCAAATCGTCTCTAGCCATAAGTTCCCTTTAGTCTTGTGACACTTTAATAATAGAGTATACACGTGGTCTATGAAAGGTGAGGTCTATGAAAGGTGAGGATCTTAAATTTTTTCTTAAACCGTCTCATGTCTAGGTAAAAAAAGCTAGGTTACGTTAAATAGACAGCCAATATAAAATTTTGCCAAAACGTATTATGAGTCTTGAACCTACGATATTTGCTTATGCTAGGGCATTCCCCACAAAAATATGGAGACTTAAAACCTCACTGAAGCTATATCCTTTAATAGAGCAGAATGATCGACTAAGATCCGTATAGCCAACACCAATTAATTGGAAAAAGACTATGATGATGAACGATAGAGTATAAACAAACATATATCAAAAGTAAACGTTCAAAATATATATATATATATATATCAAAAGCAAAATAAGTAGCCTAAAAACTAAATATAACATGATGTGAATAAAAAATAAAATGATGCGAATAAATATAACTGCAGCTACCGCAACTCAACCACCGCAACTCAGCTATAAATATGAAGTAAGGACTCCAACATAAAAGGTGCGGTTTCTATAAGGTTGCAACCTTAAACAATCCAATTAAGGTGCGTCTCCAATTTTTATTATAATATGTAATGTTGATGTAAAAAATTCTTAAGATTATCTCAAAATCTATTTTCATATTTACTTCTAAAATTTATATCTCCAAAAATGGTTAAAATCATATAGATCTATAAAGATATGAAAATCTTGAAAATAGATAATGTGTTGCAACATGCACTATTTGTGGGACTTGAAATGTTTTTTTTTTTCATGTTCATACATCTCATTGTCAAGATGATCAATTAGAGCGGTTTTCAACATTAAATCAATATTTGCTGATGGATTTTTGAGGTGTATCTGTAATTCTACATTTTAAGGTTACAACCTTACATAAACTTTTTTCCAACATAAATGATCAGAAAATGTGAACAAAAAGGGAAAAAGTCATGGACAGATCAATCTGTTGCACAAATGGACTGCAAGTCCCCTCATTTTCAACAGAGAAATTTAACAAGCCCAACATTTCAAACCTTATTAATAACCAAAATTCTGTCAGCCCGTTATACTTGTACACTAAGAGGCATCACTATTTCCTCTTGAGTTGCACTAAAATATCTTCACCCACTACTCAGGAAATCCACAGGCAATCAAAACTCATTTGATGGCTCAACCAACACGTAGTGTCAAGAAAAAAAATAGAAACAAAAAGAAAAACGAAAAGAAAGTTGATCTATTGACAGATTGCTCTTCCTGTAAAACCATCAGATTTGCAAGCTTAGAAGAAAATCACAGAGATCCACAAGAAAAAGGGCAAAAAAACAAAAAGAAAGAAAAAGGCCCAAAGACGAACTGATTATTTACAACAAGAATTCACCTTCTCTGGCACTTGAACAAAAAAGAAAGATAGGATGACTTCACCTCCTCAAAGGCTTGTAGAGGACAACAGTGACATATTTGCTTTGAAACCGGTGAGTCAAGCCAAGAGCCACAAGGGACTGAGAAGCCCACCCCTTCTCAAAAAAAAGATGGTTGAGAACTACATGATGGGGCCTCGATGTGGTATGTGATGCATCTGATTGATTTCTCATGCCCAACACTGTTAGATGAAGGTGAGGTGGGACCATTGGTGGCTCCTTTGCAAAGTCTGCCATGACTGGGAATGGCTGGTCGTAGCTCGAGTCAGGTGATAGCGGTGCCTCAAACTCTGACACACTTTCAACACTCTCGGGCACGTGTTCCTTCGCATTGACACTCAACTAAGATACTCATAAAATGTACGCATGCATCCATTCATGAACTTGCACATGTAGGCTTGCATTATGGATGTCGGCATGAAAGCATTCACGCATAAATGTATGAATGTTGTATAAATGCATTCACGTTCATACATGCATATGTGCATATATGAATGTTGTGTATGAGTATGCATGTATAAATGATAAAAGTACGTATATATACATGCAAGCATGCATAAATGATGAATGTATCAGGTATAGGGTTGTGATTGGGTTAATGTCTTGGCATCTGCACTTCCGTACATGGGTGGAGATTTCAACCATGAGGCTTTTAAAATTACAACACTTGTTTCAAGTGGGAATAGCATAAAGAAGAGCGCAAATAGCAAGAGCATTGGGCTCAAATACCAATCTCCTTATCATGGTTAAAACAGTATGCTGCATCCATGAGTTAATGGCAGCAAAGCATATGCATGCATTGATGTGGGTACATGTGAGTGGTCAATCATATATAAATGATCTATTTATTCAAGTCTATATCAGTGTGTTGTAACCTTGAACAAATGCAGACCAACATAAGCATGTATCACAAAAGTAAATGAGAGCATGCTCTTATTTATTCATGCTTTGGATCAGTGTGTTGTGTCCTTGAGCCAATGGTCTTTTCCAGGAAAGTTACTAAAGCAGAACCAAACTGGTGGTTTAATCATCTGAAATTCGTCCTCAACAGCTTTTGATATCCTTCCACAAAAGTCAAAACCCATGCATGCCCTTGATGTCTAAAAGAAAAAGCACATCCATGTTCTTTGCAAAAAAAGAAAAAGCACATCCATGTCTATTACGCATTTCATTTTTTTATTTATTTTTTGATGTCTTCCCTTTTGTTCTGGTTTGTGTCTCCTTTAGCCCTCTTCAAGCCTGTCCTTCCTGGACCAATCAAATTGTTGGTTACATAATCTCATTTAACCTGTTGCATTTCATTTGTTTTCAGTTTCCTTTGTCTTTGACTTCTATCTTCCTAATTTTATCTAGTTTTTAATGAACTTCTATCTTTTTGTTCCTTTTTCCCTCAAAAAGCACCATGCGCCTGACATGACACAACTTAAGAGAGAGAGAGAGGTGTATGCATGTATGTATGTAACTATGTATATATGTATGAGCATGGAGGTAGGGAGAAGAGACACTTACATGAACATCAAGGACATTAGAAAGATGACCCATCTCATCAGTTTCATAAGGAAGTTCTGGAATGTATCTCCATTCTCCGTCCACTATAAACCTGTAGTGGTAAACCCCAGACGGGAGAACAAACAGCAAGACATGATCCTTTCCTGCTCTCTGCAAAGTCGTCCTGCAGTTTTCACATTAAAAAGTTGCATAGTTGTAAAAACCCTGTCTTTCCTTTTTTGTGTTCTAAAAGAATAAAAGCCTAGTAAATTGGCAAAATAACATACAAATTTATATATGCATATAAAACACATAAGTGGGTCGATAATCCAGAAAAATAGAGGGATTGAGGAAGATGATGCACATAGAATTAGAGTTGAGTGGGAGAAGTGGAGATGTGCAACCGGAGTTTCATATGATCACTGCATAGCAATGAAGCTAAAGGACAAGTTCTATAGGGCAATTGTTAGACAAGCTTTGCTTTATGCAGCGAAATGTTGGGCTGTCAAGAAACACCATACCTATAGATTTAGTGTATTTGAGATGAGGATGTTGAGATGAATGGGTGGCAAGACAAGAAGGGATAGAATTAGAAATGAATACCTTCGAGAGAATTTAGGTGTGGCACCAATAGGCGATAAAAAGACAGAAAGTAGACTTAAGTGGGTTGGTCATGTGTGGCACAGAACTAGTACAACACTTCTTAAGAGGTGGGAGCTAGTGGAAGTTGAAAGCTTAAAAAAGACAAGGGATAGGGCCAGACAGACAGAAGTAGTGAGAAAAGATATGAGGACTTATAGCCTCACTAAAGGTATGGCTCTTAGTTGGGAAGAGGCTCTGATGATGCGACGATGACGACGATGATGTCGATACAAAACACAAACATCTGAACATCATACATGTACAAACGTGGATATACAGATATGGTATTGTTTTGAATGTGTTGATTTGTTTCATATGGAAAAAGAAGCATACTAATAGGGCCATATGGAAAAAGAAGCATACTAATAGGGCCATGATTCAATGAGAACAAGTTCCCTCGATATCCGGTAAAGGCGTACCTAGACATCCAATTGTCCCACGATCCTTCCACTACAACATTATTGCCCCCATGATTCCATGTAATCAAGGTCGCGATTCCATTTTCCTGTGGCACATCTTCAGTTCCATGATGGTTGTTCACCCATGACTGACCAAGAGCTAGAGGAAGATCAGAAGCCCTCTGTAATGGAGCGATGGGCATCTGAAAATTATCTCAAAATATAGACTATTTTAGAGCAAGTACATCGTAATATAAACTAAAAGTATGGAAAACATAAAAATAAGACAGAGAAAAGATAGATAAAGGAAAGATTTGAGGCGATTGAAACTGGTGTATACATCTTCAACTTCCTAGTAGAACAACTTATTCTCAGTAAGCTTCTTTTGGCAGAATAAGATACTCAAGGGCTACTTGAATTGTCATTGAGGAACTTGAGTCATTTTTTAAATTGTCAGAAAAGCTTATACCATAGGGAGTTTTCCTTCACTAATATAGACACAGGATACATGGATTTTACCGTTGTTGCAGGCCTTCTCAATTCCTTAAACCTACCTAGATGTCTGCTATAACAATCAACACAATTTTTCTTTTTTTTTTTTAATATGCTACACAATTAGAATAATGAAAGCTAATATATCCAAGAATGACAGAATGCTGCAATCGTAACTGCATACTTGTGACCCAGGCATAACCCAACTGTCCAAACAGACCAACTTTTGGTAAAAGTTAAGGTTCTTAGTCTTAATAGAAATCCCTTCCAAGGAAAATAAAGAATGAATAAAAGGAAAAGAAACCAGGTCAGCATCGCAGATATCAGTTCACCACATGCAGCAATGATATGACATTTGAGATATGTATGATTTTTCAGTAAATGACTTCTGATCAGTCAGAAGTTACACATTACACATCAACTTAATCCAAGGCAAGTATGGTAATGTCATATTTATTTTTTCGTCTGTACTCCATATCACCAAATAAGAGTGCACGTAAATGTTTTAGCATTCAGTTATAATCTTTCCCTGAATATGAGTGAGCCTCAGTTTCAGCAATAATCAAAAGTCTATAAAAAGCTAAAGTGTTTATTTCTATGGTTAATCCTTGAGATATTTGGTATCAAACATATGAGGATGTGAGACCCACATTTCCCACTAATTGTAGCTAATAATACCTCAATGGAACTGGAACTATTCAATGTTTCCAGAGAAGCAATCATGAGGACTAATTTACTATATGTCATCAAGCCATCCATCCATATCTTGAAAGATGCAACTTGGGATGCAGGTAATGGATCCTATCCAACGGAACATGCACTGATCGTAATTTGATAGAAGAATCCAATGTCAGTAAGTTGCATGTCTCATGGCTCCTAAACACCAAAGGTCCAAGTTATTTAAGAATACAATGTCAACAAGTTGCATTTCTCATCGCTTCTGAACACCAAAGATCCAAGTTATTTTGTTTGCAGCATTAAGTATTTGCAAAGTGGATAAGCATCAGATATCAATAGTCTTCTTTTTTTAGCTCAGTTGGAAATCTATAGCCATCTTTTGAATTTATACATGCAATGAGATAATGCCCATATTTTTTAAATGCAGTATAAGGCATCAATTAGAATCAATAATCTTAAGGCCATTGAGGGTGACCATAACCCGTATCAACCATAACCCGTATCAACTAGTCTTTCTACCCTACCCACCTTACGGACAAAAAAGAATCTTCAAACTCCTGCCTTGCAATTGAGTGAACTGTATTTCAATCTCTTGAAGCTATTTAAGTATTTAACCATGATTACAGCCTTAGCTATGTTTCTTCAGGAAAAAAGAGAAAAATATCCAAATAAGTTGTGGGACAAAGACAAGTCCTCTTGAATTTGAAATCAGTGTTCACATTTCTAATTGCCCACGGAGGTGGTAAAGCTTCATTGTTAAAGGTCGTCGCAATGGTTGAGAAGCCGAAATTGAAAGAAACATCACATTTTTCCTGCAACCATTGTTTTAAGAATGGGCATGCCATCAACATAAATTACAAGGACTCCGAAAACCATACGCACAATAACTTATAAAGACCTGTGACTTAGCTTCATTAAGGAGAAAAATGAAAAAGGAAATAATGTTAAGTTCAAAACATGTAAATTATTTCGGACCTAAATGGTAATCCTCAATCACGTAATTCCGAATTGCAAAATCATACACTTTAAAGAAACAAGAATAAATAGCAATCAACCATAAAACATTCATCATGATTCCTTCCATTACATTTCCTTCAAGATTAAGAACAAAAGACCGGGCCATTAACAAGAGAACAGAGAAAGAATGGAAAGCCAGGCCATCTGCTCATAATATCACCTGCTATAAATGTAAACGATCCGCATCGATGATCCAAAACTAAATTAAAAAACATCCATATAGATTAATCTCTGCACATTAGTTCCTCATAAATAAATAAAACCTCATCCTGAAACAAAACCCAACATCAAATTGAAAAATATCCCAAAAAGAAAAAGAAAAAAAGAGAGAAGAAGGAAATCACAAAAGGTAATCCTCAACTGGTTAATTCCAACTTTCAGATTCATGCACTTCAGAACAAAAGAACGAGAACTTATAGATATCAACCGTGTAATCATAATTATTTAACATAGTTTATTTATATAAAAGTTAACCAAGAAAGAAAAACCGGTCACTAGCTAGAGAACAAAGAGAAAAGGGAGAACCACGCCATTTGCCCATATTTTCGCCTGCTACAAATTAAAAAATACTCAACATCAAAAATAAATAAAAAATCTTGGGATAAAACTCAACATCACAAACTTTCCACATCGATGCTCCACGGAAAATTAAAAAAAAAAAAAAACGGTTTTTCTGAATATTCAATTCTCCATAAATAATTTTTGTACATTAATTCCAAGTATTAGCAAGCTTACCAGAAATAAGAAAACACACAATCGATCTGGAAAAGAAAAACAAAAAACCACCCCAAAATTTTGCTCTAGAATCACTTCAGAACTATATCAAAAATGGAAAAAAAAAAAAAGGGGGGGAAAAGGAACTAAAACCACCCATTTGACCCAACTATCGGTCAAAAAACCACAAAGCACACCAAAAAACAAAAAATAATGCCATAAAAACAAAAGAAAAAAAAACAATTTCTATCAATAAAGGAAGAACAAAAGAAAAGACACCAGATCAAATTCAAAAGAAAATAACAGACATTAGATCGGACGGTGAGGATCACCTGAGGAGCAAACATGAGGGGCGATCGTGACCGTCGGGGGCTCTCAGTAGGCGTATTCCCCATAGATTCCGACAACAATGGCCTCGCAAGCCTATCGGAATCCGCCAGAAAACCCGCCGGAAAGTCAACTCCAGCGTCTTTTCCGGCCATGTCTCCTTCTCCGCCCTCTCTCCCGTTAGCGTTTCCCATTTTTCCCCTTTTCCCCTCTTTTTTTCTCCCTTTTCCCTTCTCTTTTTCTTCTTCTTTTTTCCCGAAAACCACTAATGCCTAACCAGTTAGATCTTAAAGATCGTGGACTAAGGCGGTTTTCTTGGATTTTGCAGCAGAAGAACGGTTTTAGAAACCGGGGTAGTTTGATGACGTGGTTTAAACGTGGATCCGTACACGTGATGGATATAGTGGGCCCGACATGGGACTGGCCTTATGTTGGGACCACATAGGAGAGACAACTGGATGACACGTCAGAAGAATTGGAGAGAGAGAGAGAGTGATTCTTTTTAGAGAGAGAAAGATAATGAACACTAGAGTTGAAATCTAAGTGAAAAGTGCGCAGTAAATGCACCTAAGTTTATGGACAGAATTTAGGGATTTATATGTAAAATACATTTTAAATCACTGAAAATAAGTACTAAAACATGTTTTGTTTTTGGAGCACAAAAAATATTGAATTTTCATTGAAATTATCAATCTCTATAATTTTTTATCCAAAATCCATCACTAAATAAAATGTTGGAGGAAGATGGTAGAAGTAACGTATCAGTGTAGTTGATCCTAAATAGTTGAAAGAAAGACTCCAATAATGATTGAAAGTACAAAGCTTGGATTTGAAAGTATGCAATTAAGACTATGTAATTGAAGTTCGAATCCGACTGCCAAACTACCTAAAGAAAGAAAAAAGGAAAGAAAAAGAACAAATGAAATTCAAATGTTTGTATTTTACCGGTTGTGCGAGAGAAAGAGAGATAAGGGATTGCATAATGTAAGACCATTTATTTTGCTTAACGAATCATTTTTTATCAATGGATGTAAAATTTAATAGATTGAAATGTGTCTCAACATTTGAGAAAATTTATTTTGGACATTGTCCTCCCTCAATTACATATCTTCAACCACCTATTTCATATCTAACGGTCTATAATGATTATGACCTCCCAATATTAAAAATGATTATGAATGGTCTCATTGTATACATTTTTATGGTCTCATTGTATACATTTTTAAGAGATAAAATGTATAAGTTTGTATTTGTATGTGAATGAGAGATATGTGAACACATAAAATCTGTATATTGCATCGTGTCTTTACAATTCTTTTTTGAAAAAGTTTATATAGAGTCGAGACTCTAAACAATCAAATTAGAACCCACCTCAAAAATTTCACAAAGAGGTTATTTTGATATCCAAATATCCTCAAATTGATCATCTCGACATCAAGATGCATGGACATGAGAAAAAAAATGGATTTCAAGTTTTGGAAATAGTATATCTTATAATGTATTTTTTGGACCGTCAATTCTCAAGATTTTCAAGTTTTAATCGATTTGTTTGAATTACACTACTTATAAAACTTTAAATTTTATAATTAAAAATGAAAATATATTTTAAGGTTAACACGAAAATATCCAATAACTATTGAGTGCGTTTTGTATAGAGCCTAGGCTCTAAACAATCAAATAAGGGCCTACCTTCAAATAGAATCGAGAAATATGGTTTCAATACGGGAAATCTTTGTGATAGCCTTAAAATATATTTTTATATTTATTTATAAAGTTTAAAGTTTCAAAAACAGTGTCGATTGACAAATCTATGAACACTAGAAAATCATAAAAATTGACGGTCCAAAAATACGTTACAAAATACACTATTTTCAAAAGTTGAACTCTTTTGTTTTCTCATTTCCATGTATTGAGATGATCAATTTGAAAATATTTGGGCATCAAAATAACCTCTTCTAGTAAGAGTTTTGAAGTAGAGCCTCGGCTCTATATAAACGTTTCCCAAAATTATTGGAAGGTGGGACGACTGTTTAGAGCCTCGGCTCTACACAAACCGCACCCAAAGATAAGCATAGCGATGAAAAGGTAGAGTCGTGTAGTTTTGGTAATAATGATGGGCTCCACTAGGCTATATGCTACTAATGTGGGGCCAATGTCGGTGATAAGCGACTTCTAAAATGATTATTTCAAGCATATATTAACTAATATAATACTAATTTAAATACTGGCGACCATTTTGAGGTTTTTCCTCATAATAACTTCCATGTCTTCTGTGGCTCAACCTTTCATAATAGGGAAATATGAGAATTTTTGTTTCTTTGTATGAATTGCTTTTTGGGTGATTTTAATTTTTTATATAAAATTTCAAGATAGACTAACTTTACCTAAATTTGTACGGAAAATATACTTGCAGTGTACGAAAACCTT